AGTGAGAGCTCCATTAAGCATAAAGCTATAGCTGCTGCCCAGTCGGTGTGGGCTCCTCATACTCCTAGACCAGCCTGAAGAAAAAGGAACTAAAATATCAATGGGGTAAATGACCTTGATGACCATGTGGCACATTGAAGACAGAGAGGAATGTTAGGCACCCAGATGATCCACCAGGGCATCTTTAGCACCTCCATGCCCCGTTATAGCAATCAACGTAGAAGTTCAACCACAGCATTGACAGCATGGTAAGCCAGAGCTTAGGGTGCTCATTAAAACCTCAGGTGATTCTCCAGGACAAGTAGAAGTGTTAGCTAAAGGAGACTGTGTTCTAGAATGGCTAAGGAGGTGGGAAGATAATGAGTATCAATAATAGCCTTAGAGACAGGCAAAGTGACTCACACCTATAATCCCAGTGCTTTGGGAAGCTGAGGTAAGAGGATTGCCTGAGCCCATGAGTTTGAGACCAGCCTGGGCAACTTGGCGAGACCTCATCTCTATAATAAATCAAAAAATTAGCAGGGCATGGTGATACATGTCTGTAGTTCCAGCTACTTGGAAGGCTGAGGCGGAAGGATCACCTGAGTCCAGAAGGTTGAGGCTGCAGTGGCCGTGAGCATGCCAGTGCACTCCAGCCTGGGCAACAGAGTGAGACTCCAACTCAAATTATAATAATCATAATAATAATGATAGCCTTAGCACCAACTGCATTCGTGGGCCCCCCACTCTTTCTCCTCAGGTACGTTTTCTTGAAAACTGTGACCAACCAAGATCTTGGATAAGCTTTGCATGGCTCGAGTGACCCTAAATGAGAAGCAGGTGGATCTGAGGACAGTGAGAAGTGCACAGCAGTGGAACTGCATGCTGCCTAGATCCTTCACAGCTGTACACCTTCCCCCACTTGCTATGACTGTTAGTTGATTGCAGTTCACAGCCGCCCTCTTCTTCGGAGACTCATCCTCTGCTAAAGAGGAGCCACTTCCCCAGGGAAGGTACTTTCCCGCATGGGGAACAGACCAATAGCTAATGGCCAATAGGCACATGGGTAGAAGAGCCATCTATCTTGCCTCAAGGAGGAACCATCTCTGTGGAGCAATCCACATCTCAGAGTGTCCCCACAGGACCAGACTGGGCTGCTCTCCAACTGAGGCTCTGTTTGTGCTCAGTTTTTATCTCCTGCTCTATCATGCTTCGCTTATTCTCCTTCTCCTGAGAGTACTCATTCAATAAAGCACATAAACAAAAATTCCAGACTTGGCACTGCTTCTAGGGAACCCTACCAAAGACATGTGGCATATGCAAATTGACACTGGAAGAATGCATCATAATCACAGGACTTTAAAATTCTCACAAATGTGATTCCAGTGAACATCAGCTCACAAATTTTTTTTTAAAAATTGCTGAGTCCTAAAATAAATAAGGTATCATGAGTGAGAGTCATTAGAAAGGAAACAAAGAAATTGCATAAAATAACATCATCACATAGAAAATATATACACAATGTCATATAAAAAGAGGAAACTGAAAACAAAAAGGTATCAAAGCAAGCAGATTAGCAAGAAAAAAAAAGCATGTTTAGCAGCATATAATGAATAAAAGTAAAACTCAATATATGAATTAAAGAGTAGATTAGAGGCCCAAGGGAACACAGAATAAGTGTGGTAGAAAGAAGATCAGAATAAATATCCCTAGAATATAGCAGAGAGAGACTTGGAGGTAAATATATATATATATATAAAATAAAGACGAAATACACAGAAAAGAGGGTGGAACTGTTGACACATACCTAACACCTAACCAGAGTTCTAGTTTAGTAGAGACAGTGGTAGAGAAACTATATTTCAGAGATAGGGCCTTAAATGTTGCAACGTTCATGAGAAATACCAATCCATAGACGCAGGAAATCAACTAAATCCCAGATTGTCTAATTAAAATGAAATTCACTACTAGATATATGGGGGCGGAACAAAACCCCCAAAGTTTATGTATTTAAGAACTGTGTATTTATCTCACATGTTTCAACTTCAGTTACCTCCAAAGTACTTTCCTTTTGATGCATTACACTTGTCAAGATGCTTTTTCCACTGCTCAAAAAAGACTTTGAACTCTACAATTCTGATGTCTTTTAGTGCTTCTGCCATTTTTTGTTTCCTCTCTTTCACATCAGAAAAACATTTCTCTTTGAGGACTTTTTTCATCGGGGGGGTCACTCTGGGTGAGATCAAGTGAATAGGGAAGGTTGGGCATGAGGGTCATGCTATTTTTGGTCAAAAACTGTTGAACACTCAGTGTAATGTGGACAGTGTACTTGTAAATCATGAAATGGCCAAATGCATTGAAAGAAAAAAATTCACTGAAGCTGAATGCAGCCTCTCACAGTGACACTAGCTGGTACACTGATGCTGATGGGTTCCTAGAACACCTACCTAGTGGAGGAAGCCTGTACTATAAGAGGCTCACCCTCCAAAAGATCATTCCAGTTTTTCTGGGTTCTCCCTCATATACCATGGTTATATGGAGCAAGACTGTCTAAATTTGAAACCTGCCTTTAACAGCAACTAACTGGGCAGTGTGGGACACACTGCTTAACTTTCCTTGCCATAGTTTCCATAAAAACTGTTTTAAAAATAGTACCTACCTCACAGATTGATATGAAGATTAAGTGAATTGATGTCTGTAACTCTTCAGGGCTATCAGGTTTCTAATATCCATCCTTATTGCTTTTATGTTGAATTCTCAGCAAGGTGGGATGAGAAACTGATGTCTTATTAATTACCTCAAAATAAAGAGTAAATGAATTGGCCTGCCTTCCCCTAAGCCTTAACTTTGATGAGAGCCAAGCCAAACATCCTACACACATAGCCAAACACTCTCTAGGTAAGTGACAGAGAACAATGAATTTTTTCCAATTATATACAGGAGAGAGATAGCCATTCCCCTCCCATTCTGAAAGGAGATAAAAATCATTTTCTCCTTTCAAAGGAGATTGAAAAGTTCCTAGGTTCTCACCTTAACCATTTAGAATGGGAATACACGCTTCCAAGGGGCCCACAACACCCCAGGAGTCTCCAAGGTCTGGGCTTTATACCTGAGGAGACAGCACCAACAGTCGTTTTTGGATGGTGAGTACGTGAGAATTCATTTTACGAACATGTCCTACAACTTTCATAAATGTTACACTTATTATTTCATGTGTAAAACAGCTTAAAACACAAAGGGCATTTTGTATAGAAAATGTAAAGAAAAAAAGAAAGGACAAAAGGAAAGAGGGTGGGAGGAAGGAAAGGCCTGAGGAGGGGAGAAATATTTTATAAAATCTTCCTGCAAAATATCAGCAGCAGGGTGAAAACGGAACCACAAAACAGCAAAACTCTCTACCTTCTGTAATGTACTGGGCTTGGCAATTTAAGTAAGTTTTCCAACACAGTGTGTGATTTCTTACGTGTCACAACTCTTTTGGCAAGAAGTAAGAAAAGATCTGAGTTTCGAGGTTGTCATAGAACATGACACAACCTAAAAATTGGTAAAAGTAGCTTCCACAGTGGTATGTGATATAAACTGTGAGAAGGCTCTAGGAGTGATTAGAGACCCATCCCTTGCCTCAGGAGATGAGAAAGTTCTTTTTCATCAGCATTTGCTGTGCCAGGCTGACACCCACAATACCTAGGATTTCCCCACCTCTGCCTACTTTATAAGCTGGGAATGGGCACTGGGGTGACCCCCAGGCTAATAGGAATGGTGAATATTCTCTTGTTAGCCCTAAGGCTATGCCTGGCCCCAGAGGTTTTTGACTTTTTTTTTAAGGCAAGTGTGAAACACTTCTTTGTCCTTAGGTCTGGTTCATTGTTGCCAATTTGGGACCACAGGGAATGTCCTTGTTAATATTTTTTATATTTTACATGGATAACAATTATTAAAGAGCATTTGAGACCTGATTTGTGGCTCAGTGTGCTGTCTTGAAGAAAAGGGGACGATATATATGTTTACACAAACATACTGTGGGTAGGAACAGGATCATGAAATGTGAAGAAATTCTTCATAAAATTGTATTTTGCAAGATCTCTTTTTGGTGTTAAAACCAAGGGAAAAAAGGATTATCTACTAGGCATCGGTCCTTCATGCCATATGCTTCCTCTCCCTGATGTTAATGTTCCATATAATGCTAATTAAATGGACATGTGTAACTAATTTAAATGTTACAGAATTCAAAGCAGTTTTAATTCCCCCTTCACCCAAAAGTAGAATAAGAAAGTAAGTTGCTAGTCTCTAGACTTTATAGTGGACAGAGAATTGAATTATAAAATCATATTTCACAGAAAAATCTAAATTGACTTCTCAGGTTATGAATACCTGATTATGTAAGGAACAGTTCAGAAATAGTCCCATTTTAATTCATTTGGAAAAGGCAGTTATTCATTATACTGAGTCTTACAGCCAGGAAAAAGGACAGAAAGAGCATAATTTTGAGCTGTCAAGCTTAACACATGTGTAGAAGTCAGATATTTTCTGTTCTATGGCAGAATCAAGCCTGCTTGGATATCATAGTAAAAGTAGTGTCCCAATGGGGGTGAAAGTGTTACTCTGGCATAAAGAAAAATGACCCACAAAAGCATTAAGAGAATATTTCCATACAGACATATTATTTAGCTCCATTTGATTGAAGATGCTTTCTCTATGAGGATGAGGGCATTCTGAAGCTTACCTTTTTTCCACATCAACACAACATTTTAACATCACTATCTTGAAAGGGAAAGAAAGGCCAAGGTACAAGTCCATATTCTCTGAACACTATTTGCAGAAATGGCAGTTATCCTGGATAGATCGTTTTTTCTCTATTAAAGCCATCTTAAAGATCTCCCTGTATTTTTACTTAAAGAGAATTGCCAGAGGAGACTTATGCCTAGTAAAATGTAACAGACCAATGGACACAGAATGCTACAATCTTTGTGAAGAAGACTCATCCTCCACAGAGAGTTGAGAAAGAAAACAGAAGAGCTTACCTTTATGATGGTTTGCACTGGATACAACTTTCCCCCACAAGGTTACAATAAATATTATTATGAGCAGTTTTCCTTTTGTTGCTTTCTGTAAGTATCTCTTACTCATCCTGCAAATAAAAAATAATAATAATAAAAATCCTAAGGATGTGGATGCACAGCTTCTTCATGATAATAGTGCTACATTTAAAGCTTTCCACTATACCTTAACCCCTTGAACTCCAGAAAACTTTATTTCTTGTATTTAAAATGCTGTTTGCTGTATATAAACTATGAACAGAGAAAATATTTTCCAAACAAGTTGCCTTGATACGATGTAAAAGGTAAGAAAAGCCCTGCCTCAGTCAGTCTTCATCCATTTAACAATAGCCAAAATCAGCTTGGAAATATTACCATATCTCTTTCCACATAAATGTAGATTTAATTTATTAACAAAATCCAAGGTATGGTTTATGAATAATCTTTAAATAAATGCCTTATTATTTGACTTTTTTCAAAACAGTTCTTCTTCAGTGCCAAGTCAAATGGAGAAGGTAAACAGTTTAGATAAAATTGCTTAGATGAATTCCTGAACAGAATACGGTCACTTCAAATCTGTAATTCCTAATGTGCTTTAAAAAAATCATCTGGCTGGGTGCGGCGGCTCAAGCTTGTAATCCCAGCATTTGGGAGGCCAAGGCAAGACAATTGCCTGAGCCCAGAGGTTTGAGACCAGCCTGGGCAATTTGGCGAGACCTCATCTCTACAATAAATCAAAAAATTAGCCAAGTGTGGTTGCGCATGCCTGTAGTTCCAGCTACTTGGAAGTCTGAGGTGAAAGGACCGCCCAGCAAGTCAAGGCTGTGGTGGCCGGGAGCATAACACTGCCCTCTAGCCTGGGTGACAGAGTGAGACTCCTACACAAAAAAAAAAAAAAAAAAATTTTTTTTAAATCATCTGGTGACATATCGTCTTTATTGCAAGCTATCCTGACCCATCTGGTATGTATAACTCTGCTACAGGTGATACAATGTTGCTGGAATTCACCTTACTAGACATTATCAAAAGAAAGAGAAAAATGAAAAACAGTAAAATAAAATTTTCAAGTTGAGTCTATAAAACCTAGGGAAGCAAAAAAAAAAAAAAAAGGTTATAATCAAACAAGAACTAGCTATGATGAAAGTTCAGCCCCTACTTCATTTAGCACTTTCTACAACATTCTTTCATTTGTTCTTCAGAACAATGGTGGTGGGTAGGTATGTCCATCCCCATTCTAAGATGATGAGGTTTGGAAATTTGCCTAAGGTCTCATCTAATGACAGAGCAAAGTTCAAACCCAGAGCTGTCTAATTCTAAAATTCTTAACCACTAAGGTGTAAGCAAAACTGATAGCAAATAAAATCCACCTACACCTGTTTATGAGGGAGATAAAATAATGGGGGTACCAAAAACTGCATACACATTTTTAAGAGATGTCATCTATGTATTGCTTTTCAAAGTTGAATTAAATAACAGTAGTGATGTGTAGTATGACATTCGCTCAACCGTGCTTGTGCCATTTTTTTGACTGTCCTGTCTGTCACATGGTGACACTAGCATTCATTTTTTAAAAAATTGATTAACTCCATCATCTGAGCAAATGTCATAATTAAAATGTGTATAATTTTTTGGCACCCCCTGTAGATATCTGTCACCCAGTGCCTTTCAGACCCAGATCCATACTGAACTCTGTTTTGTATGACCTATAGATTGTTGCCTGCCCTGGTTTTAATGCAACTTTCTGGGGTCACTTTATGATCTAGCCTAAGTCACATTCCTCTTGACTTCTCTAAATTGCCCCTTTCTGTACACTTTCACACCCAAAACATTCTATTCTCCAAAAATATAACTCAGAGGCAGCACGGATGGTCATACAATTTTTCAAAGGGGAGTCTTTCACATGGATAAATGCATGAAAAAATGTCAATAAATTTTGTATTTTAATATAGATAAATGTTAACACTTCTTAGCTTAGGAAAGTTGTACACATTAATTCAGATGCTGAGGAGGCAGTATATTTGTGAATAAAGATATGAACTCCTAAGTCAAACTATCTGAGTTCAAGTTCAAGCTTTACTGGCTTCTAATTATGTGACCTTTTACACGATTTTACTTTTTAGGGGGCGGATCTCCTGCTTCAGTTTCTCTGGCAAATTGAAGTTCTGGATCTCTTGCTGCAGTTTCTTCTACAAAACTTGGTATAATGTGAAATTCCCAGTCCACTGACTAGCATGTACCAAAGAGTCAATGGCTTTGACATTAGAAACATTCAGTCATTTGAACATATTCAGTCCTTGAGTGCCTAAAAGGTAGTCCCATTCATAAGATGACTGAAGAGTGTTTCAAGAGCACCAACATCTGCAAATTCTCCATAAACCTTAGCCTGGGACAGGTCAAATGTACTGGACAAAGTGACAGCATTTCAGCTTTTAGATCAGACTGTTCGGGTTTAAAACCAGATTTCCTGCTTACTGGCTATGTGGCCTTGAACAATTTGCTTAATCATTCAGAGTACTTTCACTGTCAATAAGATGAGGATGACAGTGATGTCCACATCATAATGTTTTGGGTATGAAGATTTGTGGCAATAATCCATATAAAGGGTTTAACACTACTCTTAGCAAATAATAATGTTCAACAAGTGCTAACCATTCCACGAACATGACTCAGTCAGACCAGCATTTCCCTGCGTGTGTTCTGTGAGGTACCAGTCCATAGATGTTAATACAACATTAGTAAGAAACAAAAAGGGAAAAATATATTTGGAAAATTCTGAGTTTAACCAACTTAAGCAACTTTTTTTTTAAAGGAGTATACTGCTAAATATATCTTTTCAGAAACATTTTCCAGCAATCTTCTCCAAAGAGTGACACACAATACTAGTGTCCTCAGGAAACCTCTTAAAGAAATATTGAGCTATAATGATAATCTGGTTTAGTGTTTTTTCTCTCTCTCTCTCAGTAAACCAGTGCCCATTTTAAAATCTTCCATCCTATTGTCTTTGTTTCCTCTCTCTTATTGCTAAATGTATTCTCTTTTTTTCCCCACATTTTTCACCCATCCTGCCTCCCCTCTTGCATCCAATCCCTGCAACTTTATTATGCTGCATCTCAAATGACCAAATGAAGAGCAAAACTTGTCTGACAGGAAGAGCTGCTTAGCATAATTCTTAATAATAGCTTTCCCATAGCAAATGGCCTCTGCTACGAGGGCACCGACCCATCATTTTTTGCGTACCATTGTGCACCCACCCAATGGGATGACAGAACTGACAGCTGGTCAAACAGATAACTAGGCATATGGAAACAGAAACACCCACTAAGTTTGCCAGGCTGTCAAAGTAAAGAAAGAAAGGAGAATGCAGGTCAACATTTGGAAGGCTGTAAGGACTGCTATTTTTTCCCCCTCTCATGCCACCCTCACTCCTGTTCAGTCAATTACCACATTCTGTCAATACTACTTCCTGAATACCACTTAAATATATATACTTCTATCTATCTATCCCTTCTGTGATAATGCGATTGGCAGCAAAATTTCCCATGGACCACAGCATCCAACTGGACCTCTGTCTCTTCCTGCCACTGCCCTCTTCTGAACCTGAGGGTGGAGCTTATGTCTGCCGTTTTCACAACTATTTGCAGTAGCTACTAAATGCCTGATAGGTATTGTTGACTGAATGTAATGTTTTCCCTATGCCGTAACCAAATATAATAATGAAACATCCTTGCTTAAACTCTTCACATGATTCCGTTCCATGGCCAGGAAAAAAGGTTATAATCCTTATCAGGATATAAAAATCCCATAGCAGTGTTTAAAAAAAACAAGGCAGCTTCTTTCTCCCATGCCTGCTCTGGCATGTCTCCCTTTCTTTACTCCCTTCTTTCTCTAATAAACTTTGTGGAAGACTTAAAAAACAACAACAACAAAAACAACTTGCCCTTTTCTTATGTCTCTAATCTTACATTATCCCATTCCTCTCATCTCTTCCCACACACACTCATAGTCTGTGATTTAGTACTATAGATTTCCTCAATGGTTTCCAGCAAAGTTTCATCTCCATGTCGTCTGAAACAGATCAGCTGTTTGCCCTATCCCTGCCCACTCTTCAAAATGGCTGATTTCTGTTCTCAAGTCATGGGACAGGGTAGAATTCCTAGAACGTATTCAGGAACATGTTGAGGGTCCTTCTTCATACACAACAGCCACTTGCCACACCGTATTACAACCCATTGACTTATCTCCATCCATCACCTTATACAAGATTCCTAAAGACAGGGACTGTGCCCCACACATTTGTAAATATGTAGGGCCCAAGACAAGGTCCAGCTAAAGAATTGGTAAATGAGTATCTGCTGAATGCTGGTGGTGCTGCACAAATATATTGTGTAGTGTCAACAAGAAGAGGAAGCAAGTATGCATCCTCTCTTTGGGATGAAATTAGGAGAGGACAAGCAGGAAGAAAGTGAAAAAGAAAAGAAGGGTGGGGTAAGATAAAGCAAACAGAGAAGAAAAAACAGAAGGGAAAAATCCAAGCTTGAACATGTTGTATTCTAATTTTTAAATAACAATCAAGTTTGAACAAAGTGAAATGTAACAGAGTGATTAAGGATTTCTCACAAAGAGACCATACCAAAGAAAAATGCCTAAAGGGAAAAATGCTGAATGGTACATGTCTTCTTGACCTTGCATGACGGCCCAGGAAAGACAGTCCATTCACATTTGATTTGCTGACCACCAGGTCCTGGTGCAAAAATTTCCACCACCATTCATTTGTAAGAACAGCAACATTTAAGTGCATTTTGCAACAGCAAAAACTGAGTGAAAAGAAACTGGAAACTGAAGGATAATACACATAGATGGTGAAACCTTGAAACTGCTCCCCAAGCAGCAGCTGCTTGCAAAGAACACAAGGGAAAATTGAGAAATGGTAACCTTGGCAATGAAGGATGTGGAAGTGAAAAGTTGTCAAAGTGGAGGACTGACAATTAAATCTCCTGGATTTTCTCCCACTCTTCTCTTCTGTGTTACAAGTGTTAGTTTCAGTCACTGAGATGGAGACTTCTGGATTTTTTGAAGCCCTTCTCCTCCCACGAA